ACAGTTGAGAGCTTCTTGGAAAGGATTAAGGAGCAAACCAATAAAGTAGATATTGTGGGAGTCTAATACAGTAGTTAGCCAGCATGACAACATCAACGAATTCTTCTCACTTCCATAAACAAAATGATAGTTTGGACTTCAGGCTCTATTGCATCAATCAGCTCCTTGCTGGAACACCCAGATAAAAGCTAGTCAATGTCAAAGAACATTAAATATTTGGGTCTGGATGGGGAGCAAATGGACTGCAGGGGAAGTGTAAAAGGTGGCAATGAAAACACTTTTCCACTTGTTTCTTGGATGTCTCAAAATTACTTTGGATGGATATAACTGTTGGCCTAGATGCATTACTTGGTCAGGCCCCAGACGTGGCTAAACCCCTTAAGAAATAACTAAGAAATAAAATAATTTTTATTGGAACCTGCAGCAAATGTCCATGTGCAAGCAGGCACTTTCACGTATCTTCAGTAAATTATTTATGAACCAGAACAGCAGTAAAACTTGACTGCTTTCTAGATGAGGTCTTTATTATCTGTTATTTGAAACACTGAAGGTCAACACATCTCTTGTCATACAACATGGACCTTTGAGAGATAAAACCAGATAGTTTTATTTTTCCTTTTCATACCAGCATTGAAATAAGTAATTTCATAGCTTTAATGCACTATAACTTTGAGAAGGCTCAGAACAAAAAAGGTCACCTATTGCCATTTTAATGAGCATACAGACTTAATCCCGAAGCACATTTATGCTCCTACATTAAGTACTCCTTCTGGCAAAAGCCAGTAATTGCATGCTCCTGAAAAGCATGAATACTGCAAGAGGAGACAATCAAAAGAAGCAAAGATTGCACATAATTTCCAGATGTCATCTAATTCTAGCATGTCTTACAAAGACACATTTGTTTTCCTCAAAAGAAATAACGATCAAACAAGAACATGCCAATTACCTACAATCCTGTAACTACACAAATTCACATCAACGGAAATATCCATAACGAAAACTTAATCAATTTAAATGCTGCTCCCAGTTTTCCCCTGAAGATGTATTTCTATCACTGATGAAAAAGGCTGTGATGGTCAAGTGCTCTCAGTTGTACTTACTGAAAATCAGTGACTGAATTAAAGTACACACTTGCCATTTATAAAGTTCCCGATAACCTTTGCATGTCTTACATTGGATCTGTAGCATTACTTAAGTAGTGTCCAGTGGGTCTTCAGCTCTGCTCAGAGCATGCTGCATCTTCTCATACATCTTAATTCATTGAAAGATCCCATAAATGATATGCTTTATTAATTGATTTGTTAAATCATGAAAAGTAGTCAGTGCTCTACTCCCTGCATAGCCACTGAGCAAAACCATTTGTCCTAGAGACTGATTAAATTGCAACAAAGCTTTCTGCAACCAGAGTCAATGAACTCATCATTTTCTGGGAATCACAAGTAAATCCTGCTTCAGCAAAAAAACACATATTCACTGGAAAAACAGACCATACTCCTCACATCTTTCCACTGAGACAGTTAAATTCCTCACAGGAACATCATAGAGGACATCTTTCTCTTTTCTACATAATGTTTTTAATGAGAGAATCCAGATTTACCTAGACTTACAATTTTTGGCTATAAACATTTGGGCTAAGACTGAAATAGCTTTTTACTGCAGCACAGGAGACAATACAGTCAAGCATCCTCCTCATTCTCTCTTTGCCTTCCTCATTTGTATCTGATGGTTGCTAGTCAGAAACATTTCTAAGACTGCTAAATCACTAATTGCTATTCGGTTTTATTAAGCTGTAGCAAAAGCACTTAATATCTGTACTAAAAACACTGCAATAAGATCTATCAGCATTTGGCAGATAACTATGAAGACAAACACAGAGGAGCACATGCAATCAACAGGTAGCAAATCAGTAGGACTGAATTTGAGAGTGGCAGAGAAAAGAAGGAAATGCCTTTAACTGCCTCACCTGTTAAGAAATCTGATGTATTTAGCAGGGGTGCATCAAGGAAAGTTCCTAACCAGCAGCGTGCATTACAGCCAGTGTTCTTCTTTCTTTTGCACTACTGAAGCAATGAAATTACATGCTGACATAACAAAACATGGTATATGAAATGCTGGCTCAGTCTTCTTCTGCCCCACTCCTTACCAACTTTAACTCTTGACTGACAGCCTTGTTCAATAATGGTAAAAACCAGCACAATGAATGAAAAGCTACAGTACGCTTACAGTATACATTAAGCAATGTGCATATATATATACATACATACATATAACGTCTCCCCAGGATATATATAGACACACATACACATTGCAGTGTCTCCTGGAAAGACCTCATTGCAACCTTTCAATACTTAAAGGGGCCTTATAAAAAGATGGAGAGGGACTCTTTACTTGGGTAGATAAGGATAGGACAAATGGGATTAGTCTTAAACTAAAAGAAGATAGATTTACTTTAGACATTAGGAGGAAATTCTTCACTGTAAGGGTAGAGAGGCACTGGAACAGGTCACCCAGAGAAGTTGTGGATTCCCCAATCCCTGGAGGCATTCAAGGCCAAGCTGGATGGGGCCATGTCCAACCTGATACAGTGAGTGGCATCCCTCCTATGGCAAGGGGTTGAAACTAGGTGATCTTTAAGGTCCCTTCCAACCCAAGCCATTCTATGATAAGCAGTATCAGAATGTAGATGCATCTTACACATAAACCAACTCATCAAATGCTGTTGAGTTGGGTACATTGCCTGTAAAGCCCCTTTGAGCAGTTATGTGTGAATAGAAGTGAAGTAAAAGAAGAAAACAGATGAGAATTCTTTCTTTTACAAAACATTGCAAGAAATTGTTGCTTGTGATGAAGGATACAGAGAAAGTAGAGTTACTGTATGCCGTCTTTGCTTCAGTCTTTACTGTTAATGCGTGCCCTCAAGAACCTTTGATTTATGATACCAGGGATAAAGTATGTAGAAAGGAAAATTTTCCCTTGGTTGAGGAGTATCAGTTTAGAGATCATTTACACAAACTTGATACCACAAATCCATGGACTTGGATCGGAGGCACCCACACATCCTGAGGGAGCTGGAGGATGTTATTGTTAAGTCACCCTCCACCATCTTTGAAAGGCTGCGGAGGACAGGGGAGGTGCCTGAGGACTGAAAGAAAGCCATTGTCACTCCAGTCTTCTAAAACGGAAAGAAGTAGTCATGGAAGAAGACAGTCAGTCTGACCTCTATCCCTGGAAAGGTGATGGGACAGCTTATCATGAAGGCCACCTCTAAGCATACGGAAGACAAGAAGGTAATCAGGAGCAGTCAGCATGGATTCACCAAAGAGAAATCATGCTTCATCAACCTGACTGCCTTCTATGATGGGACAACCAAGGATGAAGCCAGTCTCTTTTCAGTTGTGCCCAGCAAGAGGATAAGAGGCGATGGGCACAAACTGAAGCACAGGAAGTTCCAGCTGAATATGAGAACACTTCTTTACTGTGAGAGTGACAGCACTCACTGGAACAGCTTGCCCAGAGAGATTGTGGAGTCTCTTTCTCTGGAGATATTCAAAACCTGTCTGGATGACACCCTGCGCAATGTGGTGTAGGTGATCCTACTGAGCAGGGGGGTTGGACTAGATGACCTTGAGAGGTCCCTTCCAACCTTGGCCATTCTGTGATTTTGTGATTCTCTAACTGGCTGGAGAGATGAGGGAAAACAGTGGATGTTGTCTGCCTGGACTTCAGCAAGGCTTTTGACGCTGTTTCCTACAACATCCTCATACATAAGATCAGGAAATGTGGATGAGTGGACAGTGAGATTGATTGAGAACTGGCTGAATGGCAGAGCTCACAGGGTTGTGATCAGTGGCAGTCTAGCTGGAGATCTGCAGCTCGTAGTGTCCCTCAGCATTCAGTTCTGGCTCCAGTATTGTTTAACTTACCCAATAATGACCTAGATGAAGGGATAGAATGCCTTCTCAGCAAGTTTGCTGTTAACACAAAACTGGGAAGAGTGGCTGGCTGATACCCCAGAGGGCTGCACTGCCATTCAGAGAGACCGAGGCAGGCTGGAAAGTGGGTGGAGAGGAACCCCATGATGTGCAACAAAAGCAAGTGCAGGGCACTGCACTTGGGGAGGAATAACCCTATGCCCCAGTACAGGTTGGGGACTGACCTGCTGGAAAGCAGCTCTGTGGAGAAGAACCTGGGGGTCCTGGTGGACAACAAGCTGGCCACGAGACAGCAGTGTGCCCTTGCGGCTAAGAAGGCCAATGGTATCCTGGGGTACATCAGGTAAGAGTGTTGCCAGCAGGTCAAGAGAGTTAATCCCCCTCTACTCAGCCCTGCTGAGGCCTCACCTGGAGTACTGTGTCCGGTTCTGGGTTCCCCAGTACAAGAGAAACATGGAGCTTGTGGAGAGAGTCCAGCAGAGGGCTGCTAAAATGATTAAGAGACTGGAGCATCTCTCATGTGAGGAAAGGCTGAGGGAACTAGGCCTGTTCAGCCTGGAGAAGGGAAGGCTCAGGGGATCTGATCAAAGTATACAAATACAAAAAATGGGAGGGTGTCAAGAGGACAGGGCCAGACTCTTCTCAGTGGTGCCCAGCAACAGGACAAGAGGCAACAGGTCCAAACTGGAACATGGGTAAGACTTCTTTACTGTGATGGTGACAGAGTGCTGAACAAGTTGCCCAGAAAGATTGTGGAGTCTCCTTCCCTGAAGATATTCAAAAGCTGTCCAGACACAATCCTGGGTAATGTGCTTAACATGATCCTGCCTGAGCAGGGAATTTAGACTAGATGATATCAAGAAGTTCCTTCCAACTTCAACAATTCTGTGATTTCCAAGCACTAAAATACTACTTACATGTCTACATAAAACCTTTAACTATGGGGCATTGTAAATTATACTTCTTTTTAGCATTTACATAATGTCTGACACATAATTGCTTAAATAGTCAGATTTTCTTATTAATGTTAAATTAACATGTAAGGCAACATAACAAGGTAAACATTACCTTGATTTTCTTCCATCTTCTCAATTGTTTCTATCTGTTCAACAAGGTCATTTGAGTTCCATTGGCTCATGCCTATAAGAATGGCACTTTTTCCTTCCACCACCTCTTCTGTAGGAAGAAAAAGGAGAAAGAATAAATTGCAGTGATAAACAAAAGAACAAATATAAGGTTAAAACTACTAACTGTTAGAGAAATAAACAGATCATGATGTTTCCAAATGAGAATACATAACAGGTTAGCATATGCAAGATTCACCAGGAAAGCTTCCTGCTTAGTGATATACCCTGAAAAGTACCTATGTGCTACATAATTTTTTTTTGTCGGAAAAACAGAGAAAAGAGAGAACTGCTTGCATTTTTGCTCTTACCTTGAGCAAGTCTTTTAAAAACAAAGTTGTGAATAAATCACTCAAGTGTTTAATATCAATAATTAGTCAAAATTCCTCCCTCCTCCCAACCCAGGCAAGCAATGAAGAATGAAGATTAAAACAGCTCTAAAAGATGTTTGTTTTTTTTTACCTAACACCTGACAGAAATTTCACATAAACTTCCAGTTTTGCCCAAACCACAGTTCTCCTCCTTTAGTCTCTACAAACCGAGGATACTTACAGTACTGAAGTATCAACATGCCTTTTTTCTTCCATGAAATACATTTTACCTAAAACATTGAAGCTATTTTCTAACCAGAAGTCAGGTAAGTATTGTTTATTCAGTCTTTACAATAGTGCTCTGAAGCAATGTAGTACGTTGGAAGCCTAAGGATATTCTCTTATATGACTGGGTGGAGCAGAAATGCTTCAGGAGACATGCACTGAAAAAAAACAAAGCTTGCTAGTGTCAGTATCACTGTGAACTTCTTGAAAAATTAATGACCTTTTTGTTCTAAAAGCCTCTCACCTGACACAGGAATACAAATGATTAACTTTCATGTGTATAATTCTGTAACAAGCTTGTGATCCAATAGCAATGTGCACACACACACATACACACACACACGTACTCACACACAAAAGAAAAAAAAAGATTTTCTGTGGGTCATACAGGTAAAAACGCTGCAATTAAACTATTCAAGTAGTAACTATCTAGTACTGACGTAATTATATTAATATAATACAGATGGATTATATCCTTATACTTATTCAGGAAACGAAATGTGCTATACTATAGGGTAGTTAAAGTATTCTATAACAGTCAAACTATATGAACTTCTCAGAACGTGAACATGAACATTTTCCAAGATGCAAGGAAAACCTCAGTCAACATCCTGGGACTTTTATCAGCCATATAATTGTAGTTCAACATTCACCTCAGCCTGAAAATAGAGCTCTAAATGTGGCCCATTATTATAAACACTTCTAAGTTTATTATATATCAAATTTTAACATGTAATCAAAAGAAGTATCTTCCTACACTAGACAGGCCTGAAGTGAAAGTATATCTCTAAAAGTCAACGTTAAACCATCAATACTAGCTTGTAGATTTCAATATACTAAAATTCTGACTTTACAACATTTAAAAGGCAAGGCAGAGGGAAGAATGGACTCAGAGACCTCTTTACAAGCATGTTTTTTTCCTTTTCTCAGAAGCCACCTGTGCTATACAAAGCTTTAAAGTTTCATCTAGGTGCACAGAGACATCTAGGAGCACCTGAGAAAATAGACCAACACCCTCCTCCCCCCTCGCTGCAATTTCCTTTCAAGGTGGTTGTAGCGAGTGATGAGGTCTCCCCTCAGACTCCTTTTCTCCATACTAAACCACCTTAGTTCCCTCAGCCACTCCCCATCAGTCTTGCTTTATAGTCCATATACCAATTTTGTTGCTCTTCTCTGCACATGCTCAAGCAACTTCATATACCTTTTTTACTGAGAGGCCCGAAACTGAACATGATATTTGAGCTGCAGTCTCACCATGCTGCATACAAGGGGACAATCACTTTGCCAGTCCTTCTAGTGACACTATTTCTAATGCATCACACCTTGTTCACACACAGCTCAAACTTCACCCTGGTAGGACATTCAGTATACAGAGAAAATATCTTTAGCGATCATCATTTAACTGAGGAAAATCTGCTGGTTCCCATGCAATAAAGTAATAATAAGAAAATCCAACATGGTAGCGTAACTCAGTCCTGCCATGAACTGAGAGCTTTGTGACTGACACATTCCATGCCACATGGAAAGCAGGCAACAAGGGAGAGGTGCGCAGAAGAAAACAGTAAGATATTACTTCTCCCTTTCTCTATGGATTGCACCACAGTAAGCAGCTAGCCAGGGCAGATGAATCAACTGTCAACACATATACAGCTGTTCAGATCGTAAACACAGGTGTTTAATTCTGTGTTTACAAGGTAGTCAGAACTTTATTTGAGTAAATGGGGTTTGACCCCAGCTGTTTATCATATTGTTACCCACCGTTTAACGGATCAGTGGCACATACTGTAGAAATAAAGGAGACCATTTCCTCATTACTTTTCTTCTGAAAATCTGCCTGAACTTAATTTGAAAAACATTTTGCAAGCTAACTGCAAAGTAATCAAAAGTTGGAAATACTTGGGTCAAACTCCTGGTACAGTGGGTGATCACTGTTTATCAACATTTCAGTCTCTTGCAAAATGTCTTTAAAGTCCGTCCTATGACTATCTTCACTTGAATTCAGACCACATTCAGTAAATTTCAAGTACATTTCTTTTATCATTAGTCTACGATCTATGCCTCAGCAACTCCAAAAATGGCAATCATCATACTGACCTTCAAAGCATTCTTGAACAATAGATGTTGACAATTCAAAAGAATATCCCATCAGGCACAGCGAATGATCATACTCCCAAAAGAGAGCCCAATAAAATATTTTGCAAACAAATAAACTACCTCATCTAACTTGTATGAATCATCGCCATTTTAGTTCTCTCTAAACAAAATTTTAAGTATGAGTTAGTGCTTAAAGTTACAATACCCGCTTCACAGGGAACATAGAAACTGCTGAGATCTGTAAGACAGCTGGTTTAAACTACATGGCAAGTCACTACTGAAATGCACAAAGGCAACTTGGAGAAAAATCAACAGAGGCTGTTTTTCATTTCTTCTTCCACTCACTAAAGCTTAGGATTTCAATACAGCCTGAATAATTTAGCCATCCTGTTCTCACTGAACATAGAACAGAAACAGAGCACCATCTCTCACTCTTCATCTTCCACGTCTTCCACAGACACACTTAATTTTGATCATATTAAATTCTCATCTCTCACTAGAAGTCTGTTATTAGAGCATTAACAACTGACTAGCAGATGTTGTTCATTATCTATACATAGCAGTCACATTTTATTTCAAGTAACAGTTATAAAAAGGACAGCTATTGTTATGAGGAGCATTTCAGACTACATAAACTACCCTGACATTAAACAATTAAAAAGTATTTAATGAAAGCTGTATTATACACTAAAATCAATAGTTCCCTATGCTTAAGAACTAAGAATATTGTGACATTTCTCCCAAATGCATTTAAAACATAGTATGCAGAGTACTGTATAAACACACTTATCCTCTTCCTTCCAAACCTTGGAAATCATCCTGCTATAGAACGGCTGATTCAGTAGACAGCATTAGAAATCTAAAAAAATACTGAACAGACATTCTGATTCAAAAGCAGTTTATCTCAAAAAAAGATGATCTGAGAAAATGGAGGCAGTAGAGTGGGAAAGGGAAGTTTTGGGATTGTCTTCTCCATTCCAAAATTCCATCAATTACATACCAAGCGTGCTAGCACATGGAATACAGCATGCCAGGCCCCGAACTGTTGTTGACATAAAACAGGACCTATTTCAGTTTGGCCTGAGCAACTCCTGCTATATCCTGTTCTAAGAATTTCAGAGTGAGTGAGGTTTTGGGAGGGAAGGTTCCATAAGCTTTTGAATCATTGGAGTTTAACAGAAATGTGGAGATTGTTCTTAAGCATGAAGTTTGCTAGGAGCATGGGATGCTTTTCAAAAATTAGGGATAAGACTTCATCCCTCCCCTCTTTCCCATCTTTCTAGTTTGGGTGGTTGTTAATTTATGTAACATTCAGTATTCTCGATTTTCAGAGCTAAGTTACTCTGGAAGAAAAAAAAAGGAAAAAAACACCTTCAAGACAGCCACCCCAAATTCCCAAATTTATGGCATTTACACAGCCAGATTTTTTTATTTATTTTTTTTATTTGTATTTTTTTTTAGTGTGACAGGCTATTTTTCTCCAAAAAGAATCTAGACTAAGTTCAGTGAACTACAAGGTTCCTTTAACACCCATGAACCCTGGGAAGAGGATATCTCTTCTCACATTCATTGTGTCAATCTGATATGCTACTAAATTATTGCTCATACAAAAATGGCATCATCTGCACTGAACAAAATGGGAAACATATCACATTTTATCATTCCTTGGGTAAATTCACAGCACATCACAGTCATCAATAATAAAAGTATTTGATGTTTCAAAAATGTATTTTAAAATACTTAAACTGGTGTTGTCATGATTGTATTTTATCTGCTATGGAACAACTCAATTCCAGCATCAAATTTGCCATTTATAAAAGAGACTTTATTGGCTTTAAATCACACAGCTAATTCACCGTAACCACGAATAGAACTATCAGGTTTTAAGCAACAGCTAAAAAAGATTTGTGAACAGGGATGTTGAGAAGACTGTTGCACACAGTTTGCACTGAAATATCTGGAATCTTTAATACCTATCTTTGTGACTTGGAAAGTCCTGTGAGCAGTGAAGGTGATGCAAGGCTGCACATGGTGTCCATAGATATATTGCAAACATCAGAAGACTAAGAACTGCTCTAATATCACAGACGTGGGTGTAGTACTAGAAACAATCACTTGGTCTCTTTCAAACAGATGGTAAATCACACATTTATTATTGGTAACTCTAGAAATTTATTCATACATCATCAAAAATGAATGTATCACATGGAAAATGACATGCTTACAGAAGTGTCTGCCACTAATATTTAAACTCACTAAGCAGGGGGAAACAAACACCGAGGCAGGCAAAGACTAATTTCTTAACATTAACACATTCAGTATACATTTTTGCAGCACAGTCTTTTCTTAAAATGTCGGTACTTTAGTGAATGAGGGACAGCATCATCATACATTAAGAGTTTTTTTCTAAGCACAACAGAACTTTACATCCCACTGTTGCCATTGAACACACTCATGCTGAGAAACATTTAGATCCTCCAAACTTCCACTTTAGTTCAAGGCAGCACTGTCAAATAATATGCAAGTTTCTCAGCAGAGCAGTTTAAAATTAAATAAATTAGACTAGTGGGTCTATTTTCAGGAGAGCATGATGCAGCAAATTAAAAGCAACGCTTAAACAGCAGAAAGCTACCATAGCCTCTTTCATGATTAAGAACCTTGACAAAGCACAGGCAAAGCCTTACTTGAAATATACAGCACATAGCTATCGGCTTCCACTTTTTATGAACACAGCAATACAGATGCCAGTTCTCTAAAGATCAATTTAAGAAAACAGAAATAACAACCAAAGTTTTTAAACAGACTACATAAATTCATCTGGAAAAAATGATGCTGCTGTATTACATGCCACCTCTTTGATCTTTAGTAGAGCTGTAAGCAGATTTTGGATTGTAACATCTGTTACAGTTACATGCTTATGAGGGAAGAAAGAGTTTTGTATCCCTGTTAAAAGTGCCTCCACAGTCTGATTTAGAAACTTACTGCACTCAGTGAAGGAATGATGAAGAAGATATTTTAACGGTTGGTCAGTTCTCATCTGGTTGACAACTTTAGATCGAAAATAACTGGAAGTTGAGTTCAACTGAACTTGAACTAGGTTAGACAGTAGTTACAAGATCTCCTGTGAACAGCAATACTACCATTCACATTGTATCACAAATGTGGTATTTATTAACTGTTAACTTTGTTTCTAAGAGAATCCACACAAAAACAAAACAAAACAAAACAAAAACACAAACCACCCTGCAGGTACTTTACTAGTAACTATCATAAATATTAGGAGGAAATTCTTCACTGTATGAGGCACTGGAACAGGGTGTCCAGAGAAGCTGTGGATGCCCCAACCCTGGAAGTGTTCAAGGCCAGGCTGGATGGGGCCATGGCCAGCATGATCTAGTGGGATCCATCCCTGCCTATGGCAGGAGGGTTGGAGTTAGATGATATTTAAGATCCATTCCAACCCAAGCCATTCTGTGATTCTATGATTCTATAATAAGGCTAATACTAATTATATCTGTGTAGAAACAGTTTGTTTTGGAAAATAATATTGCAATTTTAGTCTCACAGAAATAAGTCAGAGATTTATCAGTTGGTTCAGAGTTTTGGGGTTTTCCCCTGGTGGAGTGAGATCAGTATAATGCAGCAAGATGCATCTTCTTCAAAGCTATCTTACAAACCAGTCAAGAGCACAGAGCTGATCCCCCCAGAAAAAGCTGTTTAGTTTTCACTGTTCTCCTCTTACCCATGCATTTTTAAAGCAACTAAAAAACCCTGACAAAACAGCTCCTCTATGCTGAATTTCAACTCAGGCTTATGCCAACATGAAAATACAAGATGTGGCCATGTTTGGTTGCCAACCATTCCTGCAACAATCCCACCCACAAAGGAAACAAAAAACATACTGAAATACAGAATTCACTGCATCACAGCAGACATTTAATGCTAAATACTGCCTTATAAGCACTTACTACCATTTTCAGTAACACCATGCATCTCCAGACACCCAAACAGCAATGACACTGAAGCCAAAGCAATCCCACAAAAGAAAATGTATTTCCTCAGAACAAGGTCTCATTCAAGAAAAACAGAATGCTGGGAAATGATATTTACTATAGAGAGAAAATCCAGCAGATGGAGAAACTCAATGACAATCTTAGCTATTAGAAGTAATATATCCATTTCCTTTGCAAAGCATCAAATTTTATTGCACTCAGAAATCAGCGGAACATCTGCTGAGCATGCTGTTATCTGAAACAACCAAACTAAAAATAAAAAGCATACCCAAACCGAAACCAAATTCCCCATGGGACAGTTGAGTTTTCCAGTTTGGATTAGGTTTACTTTAAACTAGAAGAGAAATCTCAACAAATATGGAAGGGGAGGGATATGATATTCCCTCTCCCTTTGACCAAATACTTAATATTGGTATTAAGTACTTAATGAATCCAACTTTCCACAAAAGATAAAGGACATTCTACAAGTTTATTCCATTACCCTTTACCCCTGACTTCCAGGTAATATGAGGATGTAACTACGACCACAATAGCTCACACTATGAAAGATCCTATAGCTGTATTTCAAAGTAGTAGCAAAATAATTTCTCTGCTATGGGTTATTCTCTTCAGAAAAGCAAATGAAATAGATCAGAAAAGCATTAGGTTTGGGTCACACAAACAAAAGCAAAACTAGACTCTCCATCTTGCACTGTGCATGCACACAAACTACAACCTCTACTCTCACTTCAGAATGAAACTTGGCACCTTAAAAAAGATGCCAAAAGTTCAGGGTCTCATTAGATACACAGGGAGTGTTGTATTTTGGATTCTCCTGATTAAAACCACAAACATTAAAATATGCTGCTTCTTGAACAAGCAGAACTTCCAGGCACATCAGTGAACATTTTGCCAGTAGAAAATCTAGGCCATGAATTTTAAAGGCTGGCCATCAGTAACACAGACACTCATGGCCATCATCAGAGCTATAAAATAGAGCACTTAACTCTAACATCATATATTACCTGACCTGTAAACAAGCTGGGCCCAAGAGACCCCACAAAGCTATGGACTTCTGCAGACATGCTTCTTCTGACGCCAGATGCAGCTCATGGCAGCTCATTCATCCACACCAGTACTTCACCAATCTCCCATAAATTTAGGCCCACTCATAAATCCTTGTAAAAAGATCTTATTCTATTATTATTTTTTTTCTTCTATATCTCAGTCAGTTGAGGACAACGTTGTCAGTCCATTCCTAAAGAAGCTCAACTACTTGCTGCAAAACTGGAAAGAATGAGGAGAGGAGGACAAAAGCGTGCACTGACCTCGCGCATCAAAGAATTCATCATCGGAGCTCTCCACAGAGTCTTTGAGGACATTCTGCATGTGCCACTGAGCACCACTGAATCGGCGCAGACCAGCTGGAAATACAGAGAGACTCACATTAACCAAAGGGAATGCTCACCTGGGCTCCAGGCTTCAAAGAAAAAAAAAATACATTAACTAACAGCTTGTGTAGATGGCTCAAGAGGATCCACTTGGTCAGGACACATACTTTAATCTCAAAAAGACAGCCAGAATTTTCAAGATAGCATGAAAATTATACTTGCTTCTAAAAATGATTAAAACAATGTCTTGCATAAAGATGAGCCTGCATCACTTTCAGCTAATGGAATGAGTTGAAAAGCTGAATTCTACACTGTTTAATTCACCAAGCTACTCAATTCCAACACTTAAACTATACATTATTTCTGAGATATGAAGTAGCATTTCCCTAGGACATGGCAGTAGTTCCTATTTCAATTCTACTTTACTTCTGAAGGAAGTGCCATCCTATTTGGTTCACAGATTTACAAAGTACTGAATTCTTACTCAGAGCTTTTTTCATCAGGCAGCTTTGTTTTGCTAGAGACTACTGTTTTCATTCAAAGCTTGCTATTAGAAAGAAGGAAGGCAAAACGACAACGGAACAGGTACAGTAACAGATATACTCATGTTGTTTCCAGTGGGTTACACGTAACTCAAATTAATTTATAACTAGAAAAATAGAGTTTATTGCCTTATATTAACAATAAAGGCTTCCCAAACCAGTGGCAAAACAGGGTTCAAAAAGGTATTGCCAAAGATTCAGTTACTGATGAAAAATTTACTAGGAAAATTTTGTTAGATCTGGTATATGCAAATGAGCTGGTTTTACTTATATATTTATCTAAAACAATGTTCTTATTCTGTCTCCTCTCATCCAAAACATTTGGGAATTTTTCTATTTGACTCTCTACAAAGACTAACAGCTGGATCTTGACTGAATAGTCTCATGAATGTTTACCTCAAAGCTCTGTAACAATATAATGCTACTAGTGACACAGGCACTTCTATTTTATTAACATGACATTGTTTTTTTCTGTATATGTGCGTGTGCGTAAATGAAATTGTGGTGTAGACCCTCAAAATTAAAAGATAAAAATGCTCCTTATGGTGACACATAGCACATTCTGATAAGAGGAAACGCATAGAGAAGAATGCCAATGAATCCAACTGATGCAGATGCACAGATGGCATTTCTGAGCAGGCCAAGTTTCTGTATGTTGTCAATAACTCATTTATGGGCAGCTCTGCAGCACCCTGCTCCACCTCATAATCATCTGAGACCAGAGGAATAAGAAGCCCTGATGACCCCACCTGTCATCAAGGTCACACATGTGAGCTAGAGATAACAAAGCAGTTTTCTTTATGTTCATGAAGACACTGTGTCACCTGCAGGCTGTTCACCATCATGGAATTCCCTGTCTCAGCAGCTGTGATTCCACCACCCCAGCAAAAGAAAGGGAAGAGCTGAGGAAGCCCAGTTACTATGAGCAGAAGAAGCAACAGGCAGTAGGAGCTGGAGGAGCAGACTACAGGCAGTTGAGCAATAGTGAGCTTGTCATCCATTATCAGAAAACAAGCCTGCAATCCTTGAAACAGACCTACTGGGCTGAAAAACCTTCTGTACCCTGGCAGCAAGCACAGAAAAGTAAGGCAGAAACACACTTGGACAAGGTTAGCTCCTTAGATGTGCCATTCCTAAAACTGACTTGAGTCAAACTGGCCTTTGTGTTAATGATACAGAAGACAGAAAACACAGCAAAGCCCCACTAGCAAAGCCCCACTGACGGACAGTCTCTGTCGTGCAAGTCAAGAAAGCCAACACACAAGTTAAAAACCTCATAACCTTCTTGGAAGAGACAAAAGAACAAGTTGGTCCCAGTAGACAATCCTCAACTTCTAATGTCACGGAATGTCAAGTATTATGCACATGCCAGAAGAGGCAAAAAAAAAAGCCTTCCTTTTAATGAGCCATGCTCAGAGAAATTTCTAAAAACATACAATCATAGAATGGTTTGAGTTGGAAGGGACCTTAAAGATCATCTAATTCCAACCCGCCTGTCATGGGCAGGGTCATCTTCCACTAGACCAGGTTGCTTCAGGTTGCACCATATGCTTGACACAGGAAGACAGAACACTCTGAATACTATTTTCTTACTCTTTGTAGTAGCAATATTAAAAAAAAAAAAAACATCACAGCCCAATTAAACAGCAGCTCCCTGGAGAAGAACTACAACTAGCCTGACTCATAATCAATAACAGTGCTAGCCCCACAAAGAAAGCTTGTGCCTCCAGCGACCTTGGAGTTTTGACACAGAATGTGAATGGAAGGCAGGGAAAAATATCACAAATCCACAGGGGAAAATTCTGGCCACCAAAAAAGCCCTTGGCAGCACCAGTTTTATAATATTGCACTAGGAATGCTTCTAGATTTAGAAGCAACTTAAACACAGCCACAGTCAACAGCAGAAATCTGTGCAAGCTAGCTGCAGTTCTTCACACCCATATTTATTTGCTGGCTGGACTGCAATTGCATTGCCCTAGTGCATTAGTCTTACTCAGTCTGCTTCATTCTGTGCCAACAGCTTAGCATTAGCCATCCTCATAGGACTCTATTAACATCCCCTGATTGCATTAAACACTGGCATTGCCTGGACTCATTGATTTCATTTATAGTGTCAACTGCTGCATATTCTATTATTTAATTTCAGAGAAGGAAAAGAGCAGACCTACTCCAAAATACAGACTACCTCCTTGGTGATGACATTTGTTCCTTCTAAGTCAATTAACTTTCTCTTCAAATACCAGATTTGCTGATTGGTTCTTAGCAGCCAGACTTCAGCAATTTTTACAAGCAGGGCAGCAGCTAACATTTCATTTTAGCTGTTCAGTACCAGAGTTTCCAAGGATGGGGAAGCTATCCATAAATGCAATGAGTTTAACAGAAACCCACTACATCAGTAATTTGCAATTCATTCACAGTAGCTGAACTAGAGGCACATGTACTAGTTTCCAAAGGCTGTTTAGGCAATACACCAGACTGACAGTAGGAGACAAGGGGAATATTTTCACGCAGCAGACAGTCCACAGAAATGCACTGTGTCTTTTCCTCTAAAAGAAGCAGAAGCAAAGCTTCCTATCTAAACTGCCTTCTTTTGCACAGTACCGCAGGTTGCTACACTCACCTGTTACACAGGGAGTTGACTGTGTTTGCCCTGAGCACATAGGCACAGTGACAGCTAGTAAGAAGACCAAAGCAGATCTGGCAGTACTGTGCAGAGAAGCTGAATTCTCTGTTTACACTCCTGTATGGTTCTAACTTGGTGGAAAGTGAATTCAACTTTTACTTTTTCTGTTGCAGAGCAGGACATGTGCATGAATACAGACAGGCTAATACACTTTAATTGTAAACTAATGCACCACTCTTAAGACTGCACCAACCACTGATCAATTTACAGACTGGATTGGCATTGATGGGAGAAGGTACAAGGAATAGAAATGCCAGCAAGAAAAAAAAAAACAAAAACAACAACAACAACAAAAAACACCATCAAGTCTAATCATTGCCTAACACTACTATGTCTACCACTAAACCACATCCTTAAGCACAATGTCTGAAATATCTAATACCTACAACTATCTAACCTAAACCTCTTGCACAACTTGAGGACATTTCCTTGCATCCTAAAGAGAACCCTTGTGTTTGAGCCAACTACGACACAAACAAATTGGAAGCTTCTCATCTCCTCTAGCTACCCTCACAGCTGCAACCACCTCATTATAAAACTGTGTGGTTAAATTACAGTTTTAACAGACTTGTGACTCTAGGCCAGGTATATGTGCCAATACTGACTATAATCCTGCCAGATGTCATCTGAATACTTAATTTTATGCACACATTTAATCCAACTGAAATCAGTAGAACCATTAACCTTGCAGGAATTCATAGTACTTTCCCCATCCTATACCTGATTTTTCTGGTTTCTATTTCAGTTTCCATTCTGATTTTTTTTGTTGTTGTTGTTGCTTTGGTTGTGTGTTTTTGGTTTTTTTTTTGCTGATTATTTTTAATTCATTGGGTTTCATGTTGATATACATTTCCTCTGAAATAGTTAAGTCAGTACAGAAGTTTTGATGAAGGTCACGTTTGAAGAAATGAGCACAGAAAAGGCCCTTCTTTATGTGAACTTGGACTTGCAGATATTAGCCTGACTGTTACAGGGAAAGGTGTGGAGATCAGAGGAAGAAACAAATAGCAATAAACTTTCTGACTTTCCCATTGTTAGTAAGGTACCTCCATTCTTTTGGCTAAAGATGTTTAATATTTTCTTCTCATGCTTCTTAGTTTAGTAATAACTTCACTGAAAGGCCACAACCTGAGACCTCTTTTACTGCATCTTAGGTGAAAATGCTTTTTATTGGGACTCCTTCCCTTCTTCCTCCCAATGAATAGATATGACTACGCACTACTACAGATCAAATGGTACTCATAGTTGTCTCTAGATTACTGAAATTCAATTTCATTTTTGCATTATATATCGTGATTCAGAAAAGCAATGACAAGTACTTTACAGATTTTTGGTAGTTTATTGCCAACATCCATTCTAATTTCATAGTGTTTGATTTCCATTATCACATCAAACAACTGATTTGTGTGAGGATACAGTTGACAGAATTTTTTTGTTAGGCTGTAGTACACGGGGGAAAAAGAAGGCAAGGGGTTTGAACCCTAGTGAATATGTAACACCTAAAACATACGGCAGTTCATTCAGAACTCTGCAGAACTGCCCAATTCACACCTTAGCAGCAATGCAGAATGTTCACAACAACCTTGAAATGGAGAATATTAAACTGACCACTGCTTTAATATTTCAGTAATTAACTGACCACTGTTTTACATTAAAGGTAGTTAATTCATTAGAGCAAAACTCAAACATACACTTAAACTCAGATCCCTTTGTCTTGTGAAAGTGTTGCTCTGCTTGATTTACATTGGAGGTATTATTTAACACAGTAAATATGTTGCCTGGCTTCTGGATCTGGCTGGAAATTTCCACGTCTCTGAATGCTGATTTTTATTTAGTATTCTTTGCTAATAGATGTTTATCTGATTATGCAAATATAACTATCCAGAATTCCACTGTATGTGACCAGATGTTTCAATTAATCAGTTATTCAATACAGCAGGATCTAAAAGTCATTCATCAGGCATGACTTCTGCCAAAGTCTCAACAAATTTATATATTTATTGGAGGAGAAACAACAACAACACACACACACAAAGGTTTCTGGTAATAGAAAAAGGTAAACTTCTTAACAAAATTAAGATGAGGAAAAAATCTGAAAATCTAATAAACTAGCACATGAAATCATAGAATCATTAAGTTAAAGAGACCTTCAAGATCATCTGTTCCAACCATCACCCTACTACCAATGCCACCCACTAAGCCATGTCCCTAAGCACCAGGTCCAGGCTTTCCTTGAACACCCACAGGGACAGTGACTCCACCACTTCCCTGGGGAACCCATTCCAATGCCTAACTACTCTTTCTGAGAAGAAATGTCTCCTAATTTCCAATCTAAACCTCCCCTGGCACAATTTGAGGCCATTCCCACTGTACACCAAAGAGACCTAAAACCAAAACATGCTTTTCAGTAATGTAAGGAAAGAAAAACAGTTTGAACATTTAGCTTTTTTTCCCCAAATATATCCTAGATAAACTTTTTTACTGTTACATGTTTGAGATATTTCAGAAATGGTATTAATGTGCCTTTCAGATGTCACATTCTAAGACTAATGCTTCAGTGACCTTTGGGTCAGACTGTTTTCAATTTAAACATTCACTCTTCCCCACCAGAATACACAGTATATGTATTATATACATACTATATCACATTTAATGTAAAATGACAGGGATTAAATCAAGACCTAGAAAATCAGTATCATTTGGCTGGAACTCCAGGCCTACCTTAACTGCATCTCCTTGCATCACTCAAGCATAGGTATAGAAGAGGGATGCTATTCTCTAAGCCTTGCCCAGCAGGGAGCAAATATGACAACATGCCAGTTTCTGGCCACTTGCCTGTTTCACCTCAGCTACCTTCCATCAAATGGAGCCTTCCTCAAACACATTAAGCTTCAGTTCTCAGCCTGACAAGGATGTACATGTATGTTTCTGTAAACTGGCCAAGTCATAGGAAGGAAGTGAGCTTTAAAAACAGATTTTCTACTTTGATGACAACCTGGAAATTGCTTTTCAGTGGAATTCGGTTTATATGCTGTATGTGAAACATGTGCACAACGGACACCTTATATAGAGATTTAAGCACTCACTGTTGAATAAACTGTTAATTACATCTGTATCTAAAAAGTAATGAATATTTGCAGTAAGATTTTCTGGCTTGTGTATTGTTTAAATACCAAGGTCAATTTCTCTTTATTTTGCCACACATATGTTGAAGAAGACAGGTGCTAATCAAGACTTATTTTTCCTTTATGTCCTTCATAAAAAAAAAATATATATATATATTTTGTTAAGTAGAAGAAAGATTACAAAGTCTTGCTTTTTCTCTTCAAGAAGAAAAAGTGTGCTGGAATTCCATTGGTACTTTATTGCATCTATGATCTGGTGATGTGAGAAGTGATGTGATGCATAGATAAACAGCAACTTGGAAAATCACTGTCGATTTCCCTAATTTAGACCATTTCACATATAATTTTTCTACTAATGACACAGTCAATATATTTGCAAGAGAACAACTCCTATCAGACCCACAGAAAACAATTTTCCACGTTGTGGATATGGTAGATTTGGGTTTCTGACTCACCATACTTACAGGTTAGCCCTGGTCCATACAAAAGACGTCTAGTCACAACCCACAGAATATAGAATGAATGAACTGAGCCCTGCCAGATCCGAAGGAGTACTATGCACAAGCACAAGTTACAAAAAATATCCAGAAACTTCAACATCCATTAAAATATTGCCAAATTTTATCCCTAGTGCTTAGTAGCTCCCACTCATGTATCAACAGCTTCTAGTGCAATCCATCCAAAACAAAATAAAAATACTGTAATAATACTGTCTCTCATTGTGGTGCTTTTACTCGGGTGGGCAGCCGAGCTCCACCACAACCACTCTCTCACTCCCCCTCCTCAAAGGGAAAGGGGGAGAAAATATGATGCAAAGGGCTCAAGGTTTGAGAATGGGGGAATGGGGGTTGCAGTCAGTCTATAGCACTTCATCTCCACCACTCCTTCTCGGTTACTCTCTTCCCCTGCTCCATGTGGTCCCTCCCACAGGATGCCATCCTTCCCGAACTGATCCCACAGGGGCTTCCTATAGGCAACACCTCTTCAAGAACTGATCCAAATATGTCTCCGTACCACGGGGTCCATTCGTCAGGAGCAAACTGCTCCAACAGGGGTCCCCCACGGGTGGCAGCTCCTCCCAAATGCCCTGCTCCTGGGTGGTCCCCTCTCCAAAGGCTACAGCTCTGGCCTGGGGCCTGCTCTGGGGCTTTCCAGGAGCCAGAGCCTCCTTCATGGCAGATCCACCTTCTCCACGGGCTGCAGCATGGAAACCTGCTCTGCTGTTGTACACTACAGGTTGCGGGGGGACAGCCTGCTCCACCAGGGGACTCTCCACAGGCCGCAGGGGAACTGCTGCTCCAGCGCCTGGAACACCTCCTGCCCCTCCTTATTCACCAGACCTTGGTGTCTGTTCTCACTCCTCTCTCTCCCAGCTGCTGCTGAGCAGCAGTTTTTTGGTTTTTGTTTTCCTTTCTTAAATAGGCTCTCACAAAGGTGCAAACAACATTGCGTATTGGCTTGGCTCTGTCCAGCAGCAGGCCCCTTATCTAACATGGGGCAGTTTCTGGATCCTTCTCACAGAACCCATCCCTGCAGCCTCCAACTACCAAAACCTTGCCACATAAACCCACTACACTCATATGCTCAACAACAGGCCTAAAGAGCAGAGAAGTTGTGGGGAAAAGCCAATTCCATTTTCTCCCACAAACCAGCAGAGATCATTTTGTCATAGGTGAATGAGCAAATTATCCTGTCAAAATCATCAGTAGTTGAAAACTACATAAAAGAGCACAATTGTTTCTAGCTTCTCCTGGTCAGGAGCCATAAGCAAATTATTTCCAAAGGTGTTGTGTTTTTTGTTTGTTTGTTTAAAGTGACAAACTAGCAGTGATATGACAATTAAGCAGTGCATGAATGCACATCATTCCATGCAATTCAAGGATGTTTATAGACAAGAAAAAAACAGAAGATGAATTGAAGTGGCCTTACTGATCTGTAGCCAGTGTTCTCAGAACTAGGAAAATGGAAGCAGAAGAACAGACAAGAAGTGAAGTAAGGCCAAAGAAAGGCTCTGAAAAGTACTTTAAGAAACAAAGGTCTTCTGAAAATTGAATGACCAATGCTGCTGATTCCTAACTTAAATTTAACCACTTCCCTGTATCATTTTAAAAGGCCTGGTGTTCAAAACTTATTCATCCCCCTAGTCCCAACCATCTTAAAGACAGAACAGCCCACCACTGTAATTCAGTAATTCCACATGCTCTCCTACCCCTACCAAAAGCATTGCTTCAAGATTGTTATGAAAAAAAATATATATATATATTTAAAATGCATATCAAATCAGAAGAAAAAAAGGCATCTACTTGTTCCTATTCCAGTGACTGGCATTACCTCTAACTTAGAATAAACCAATACAGTGCACAGTAGGCACCAGTTCTTTGGGTGCAATGCATCTGGAGGTAAAATGTTTGTGTGCAGAGCATGGTAATACCTTGAAAGAATATTTTGTTGTGGAAATAATGTCCTCTAGTATCCAGCATACTTTACAAAGATACAGGGCTCCTGCCACTGGGTCTATTGACTTGAAAGGTGATTTTATGAATGCATTGGGAAGACACCCCAGCCCTGCTGTGAAACCACAGACAAGTTACCTTTTCTCACTGGCTCTGCCTTCTCTTGAGCTTCAATTAGCTTTTACAAACTGATAGAAGCTGAAAAAGAAAACCATGACTTGAGTCATAACTGTTTATTACAGCAGAACTTCACCAACAGGATCAACACAAATACTTTGTGAGGGGACTTTCCTGTAAAACCCATTCGATACAGTTCACATCAATGTCACGATATTACAGATTTCATCCAACTTTGCAGCAGGCCCAGAAGTTTTCTCTAACATTTGCTTGATAATAAACATTTGCTGATTAAGCGTACACATAAGCACATGCCACAGATGACCATTAATGCAGCATTACTACTGCTACACCAATCTAGTTAGCAGAAATAAAATGTTCTCATAGCTACTGAAAACTCAGTAAATTAGAAACTTACTGAAGACTGAGTTAATCTCAACAAAAATGGACTCTGATGCACAGATTAAAAGTCTTTCTGCTTGTCAAAATTTGTTTTAGAACCGTTCCATTTTTAATTCAGTAAGGATTTTGTTAATAAAATTAAAAAGCACAAGTCGTTTTTTCCATTTGCAAAGAGATGCTGGGTAGAAGGAATGACCGTTGCTGTTGACATTGACTGCTGTTGCATAATACTTCTTTCTGTTCTGCTGGTTTCAGATGCATCCTGCCTACCCAAAAAGTGATTTAACTGAACTACCCACACAGTGTTACCTAGTGACTACATAGTTAAGTCTTACTGGAGGTTAAAATTACCCACTGTTATTTTCGAGTTATGTTTTCTTTCTTCTTTAGCAAACATGAAATTGAAGATGTACTTTAAAATATGTGAATGTTAACTACTGGAGGCCCTCCTTGGACTCAAGAGCTCAGGCAAGAAAGAGGGAGATATGGATACTCCCTCCAATTATTCCAGAGTAAAAACTGATGTTTAAAGAAAGCCCTCACACGCGATGGAAGGTGGCCAGAGCAGGAGTCCAGGATGGAGCAGGTGGTTGGTCAGATGAGGAGGCTGAAGTGGTGCAGGAGGCCAAGGGGGAGAGTACACAATGCCAAGGAAATATCAGGAGTCCAGAGGTGGAGTGTCGTGGGAGAATGGGAGAGGAAAATCAGACTGGCAGGTCAAGCTGGTGAGGAAAATAAAGAAGAGCTGGGCTGGAGGGGCAAACAAAGGAGTGGGAGGCCAAAGTGGAAAGGAAGGCCAATAAGGGAGCGGGCAGTGGGGCTCCAACCAGTCTAAATAGCTGCTCACAAGGGATATGATCTTATTGCCTTCCTCCCACCAGGGAGAGCACTCACATGCCCCTGTGGTTGAGCCTGGAAATCTAGCAGAAATGTTCCAAAATTTTAAAATAATGAAGTTTTCCACCTCTTTTGTTCCCAGAACAAGACTGCAGAAGATCTGTTGAAGCTTGTGAACTGGCCTAGGAAAGAGGTGGAGATACACAAGATTCCCCCTGTTGTCAGCAAGGCACCATATCAAACTACAATCTGCATTCAGGAACTTGCAGCACGCCAAGTACAGGCACTTCTGTAATCTGCATATGCTTACAGGCCTATGAATTGCAGATGTGGAAGTATTGCTGGCACTTTGGAAAGAGGAAGAAGGGGGGTTAATCAGGAAGAATTAAACAGTGGACAGGAGTGGGAACTTCGACAACAAGAATTAGGAGCAAGATCCTGGTTTAACAGACAAGAAGATGAAAGGCAAGGGGGCAGGAATATGTAGGTGGGGAAAAAAAGAATTTAAAAAAATGGTCATCTTGAAAGAGGAATCAAGTAAGGGTCTAGAGTAAGCAAAGTCATTATGTTTATCAGAGAAACTGAAGCCCAGAGAAGAGATGTTAACATAATTCCTCTGAGAGCAGACCTGGGCTGACAGAGGCAGGGTACTAAGACAGGGTTTCTAACAGGCACGGAAAGGGCTGACAGATACAAACAGGCAAGAATTGAGGGCTGAAGGGAAGCATTAACAGCAGAATGAAATCATCAGAAAGTAAGCAGCTTGGGACAAGAAGTGGAGAAGAGAAGCAGCTTGAAGATAGTGTCGGATGGACACCAGAAAAGCTAGAAACAGCAAAGGGCCTGGGCACCCATTTATTCTCATTGTGGCTGCACCTGTCCCTACATAAAAAATAAAAAGGAGAGCAAAGAGCCTAGTTGACTCAGCCACAGATACACTACAAATACACAGATAGAAGGCAGAAAAAGTCCAGGCGAAATGCAAGTTCCCATGTTAAGAAGTGAAAGGGCTAATTGGAGAAACAGTCCAGACACCACTGTGGGCTAAGTACCCAATATAACCAACTTCTCTCTCCTATTTCCTCACTCAGTGCCTTTCTACTAATAGCACTTTAGCAATGACAAGTCCCTGGCTACCTACTCTGTACATCCTTCAACTGACAGTTCTGCAACAGATGGTATGGACAGGCATATATTTGTTCACCGAGCACAGGAAACAAAACAACAACAACACAAAAAAAAAAGAAGCTAAGCCATGCAGGCCTTTCATCCCCTATTTTAAGGTACCAGTGGCACTTTCTGTCTTGCACCTTATGGCATTACTGATGAGATGAAAGAACAGAAAGGAGGTTGAACATGGTGGTTCACGCTCCAAATCCTAGATCAAGCTTTCCTATAAATATGGTACATCTTTTAGAGCTGTTTCTTGATGCTTCAGATGCCAGATCTCCCATAGCAGAAATTAACTTTACCCTTTTTCTTAGCAGCTTCACCACCTCCTCCAAACTCACTCCCTAAAACCAGGGAACATATGAATATTCTCTAACCTTTCCCTGAAATGACTGTAGGTGGACTGCCTGCATCACATCTGAAAGTACTTTCCTAGTGCATTTTTGCTTTCTGTGAAGGATCTGGCATTTTTGAGTCACTGCTGTCTGTTACACAAGGAAATAAAGATTAAGAACAGATATCACACCACCCACAGGGACATGCCAGGTAGCGAGCTGCAGTTGTCCCAATGTGGTCGGCAACCTACAGTTCTGCAAGTGCCCTAGCAAGCTCTTTGCAGGGATTTTGCTTAAGACCTTATGTCCAATAGGTGAGATCTGGCTACTCAAACAAGTCAAGATTACTGCCTCTAAAAGCCCATCATAAGCACATGTGCCATTCAAAAGTGATCAACCAGATTTTGTGGTTCCTAGAATTACGGTCTTTGCATTTACGACAAGGCCACAGAAATGCTCATGGCTGCAAGGCAAAACAGCCACAACATTTGCTTATTTGTGCATATTCTTGCTCATGTAGGTAACTCCGTAGGCTCCATTTCTACAAGCTGCACATGTGCTCTGCTCCTAAGTCAGATACGTTTTGAAAGAGCTCTTTTGTGAATGGATGGTTCTTGCATTTCCTTAAGTCAAAAAGCAGTGCCAACATAAAGCTACCAAACTACCACAAAGTGAAAACACCACATCCTTCTTCCTATCAAAGTTAAAAGGACAGCAAACTAATGCCCCAAAAAAACAACGTGACTTTTTACACTTTTGATTAATACTTCGTCTATCAAAGACTAAAACCAATCATTTAGTTCTATACTCTACTTCCATTTTCTAAAGTGATTGATGTTCTCACATTCCTGAATGCTGTTTTTCTCAGGGCTGCCTGCAATCCATGCCTATCTTGGGGAAATATTAAAAAATAAAATCAAATAATCCTGTTGGAAAAAATAACTTGGTTTTAGATGTCATGCTACCATGCAACTGTAAAGCTACACTGACAGATAAACAGACTGGCACCAAACACTAGGCAAGTTTCACACACAGACCGACAGGCATTTAGTCATTGCACAGTTAGGCCGTCACCTCCAAAAGTAATGGGTTCAGAATTCAACCAAGAAGAAAACCACTTCTGCAACAGCAAGAGGTTTCTCATGGGCTCTGCCAGCTGACAAAGGTCACTCACGTGCAGCAAACATGTGTTACATGGGATGTGGCTGCCAGCAAGCATGGGGCATCAGGCTTAGGGCAGAGTGGCTGGAAGCTGTGCAGAGGAAAAGAATCTGGGGGTGTTGGTCGACACTCACCTGAACATGAGCCAGCAGTGTGCCCAGGTGGCCAAGAAGGCCAACAGCTTCCTGGCTTGTATCAGGAAGTGTAGCCAGCAGGACCGGGGAGGTGATCGTTCCCCTGTACTCTGCTCTAGTGAGGCCGCACCTTGAGTACTGTGTCCAATTTGGGGCCTGTCACCACAGGAAAGACACTGAAGCCCTGGAGCATGTCCAGAGAAGGGCTATGAAGCTGGTGAAGGGTTTGGATCACAAGTCCTATAAGGAGAAACTGAGGGCCCTTGGGTTGTTTAGTCTGGAGGAGCGGAGGCTCAGGGGAGACAGACCTCATTACTCTCTACAACTACCTGAAAGGAAGGTTTGAGGAGCTGGGGGTTGTCCTCACAAATAACTAGTGACAGGAAAAGAGGGAACGGCCTCAAGTTGTGCCAGGGGAGGTTCAGGTTGGAAACTAGGAGGCATTTCTTCTCAGAAAGAGCGATTAGGCACTGGAACAGGTCACCCAGGGAGGTGGTGAATTCACCGTCCCTGAGGGTATTCAAGAAAAGGTTGGATGTAGTGCTTAGGGACACAGTTTAATGGGTGACATTGGTAGTGCGGTGATGTTTGGACCAGATGATCTTGGAAGTCTTTTCCAATCTTAGTGGTTTTATGATTCTTACACGGCTTTGCCACACAGTACTCTCAATCTCTGCAGCCCAAAGTCCAGCAAACTGATCTCCAAATTGCTCAGACTCCAAGGGAAGCAAAAGCAAAAACATGTGAGCCAGTACGCACAAGTGAGTCTGGATCTGCATTTTCCTTTGAAGGGGTACTACCCAAACAAGCACGTCTTTATTGTCTTCAGAGGAGCCCGTGGCTGCCACGTCCCGTTCTGCTTCTCCCACGTCAGGCAGCAGCGAGCATCGCTACAAGCAGGCTGCAGCCACGGTGCAGCCTCCGGAACCGGGAGACTCTCCACAACCCCAGCCCAGCGCCGGGGAGGAGAGCCGGCAGGCAGCAGGACACCAGCGGCCTGGGCAGACGCCCCACGCGGGACTCCCGCTATCGCGGGCACAGGGCCCACAGGAGCGCCGAAGGCAGAGCAGACCCTGCTCGGGCAAAAGCACCCGGGTCTCGTTTACGGGAGCCTGCGCCTACCGGTCCCGTGGGTCGGCACGGGGCTGGGCAGGCCGCGGCACCCTGCACAGGACCACGACGGGGCGGCCGGCTCGGACCGGCTCGGCCTGCGGCGGGCACAGAGCGTGGTCTGCCCCCGAGGCCGGCCGGTGCGCGGGGAGCGTCCCCCCCCCCCTTTCCCCTCCCCTCGGGCCGGCCCCTCCCGCCGCGCGGGCTCCCCGCTCACCTGGGCGCGGAGCTTTCGCCATCTCGGGGCTGCTCGCTCCCGGCCAAGCCGTCGCCGGCCGCGTCAGCTGCTCGCCCGCGGGGCCCTCCCGGCGCGCCGGCACCCCGCGCCCTGCCGCTCCATCTGCTCCCGGCGGAGGTCCCGCACCGCCCACCCGCCTGCGGCGCCGAGAGACGCGACCGGGAGGCGCCGCCGTGCCGTGCCGTGCCGTGCCGCCCCGTCCCCCCCGCGCAGCCCACCCGCCGCGGCGCAGCCGCCGCCGTTAAAGGCGCAGCGAGCGGCTCGGGCGTGACCGGGCGCCGAGCCGGGCCGGCAGCCCCGCTGATGCGGTTGCTCGCCGGCGGCCGGGAGGGCGATGGGCGAGGCCCGAGCAGAGGCGCGGCCGCGGGGCTCCCCAAGCCCGCCCGCCCGCCCACAGGGCCCGCCCAGCCGCAGCCCAGAGCGGCCGCCGCTCGGAGCAGAAGCACTCGGTGCCCGCGGCCGGCCCGTCCTGCGGCTCTCCGCCGCCGCCTTTCCTTGCCGCCCTGTCCCCGGCCGCCCGGAGTTACCTCCGGTCTGCAGCCCGCTGCGGAGCGCCCGGGGGCTGGCCGGCGGCACGGGCCTCGGTCGCTGCGGCAGCACCGGCCGCACAAACAACTCCTGCAGGAGGCTGGTCCGGATTTAACGGCAAAAAGCCCTTGGGGACTGCCAAGCCGTGTCAGTGCAGTGGCCAAACTGCCGCAGGGCCTTTCAGGTCCGCGGTAGGAGCGCTGCTTGCACGCTGCCGAGCGAATTGAGCTAGGGCACGTCCGGGGCGGGACTATTTTTCTCCCTTCTTCAAGACCCTCACTTGAGGCACATTCAGGACAAACTAGAGAGAAGTCTGCTTCTCCAGATCTCCCAAGAACTGGGGAAAACTCACCTTCAGAAATGACTGAAGTGGTTGCCTAACTTGGAGGAATAATGGGAGGAGGCAGGGAGAAAGCCTATGATGGGCTATATTTTATTTAGAGTGTCAGAACACCAAAAAATAAAGCATGGTAAATAAAAGTTTGCCCGAGGAAGCATGCAGAAAAAGGAAGAACCAAGAAAACAATGCAGCTGAGACCTAAAGCAACTGGCAGGCTTTGTGCCAATACCAACTTGGTAGGTAAAAAAAATAAATACACAGTTTGCTTTGGATCTTGCTAAACAGTTCATTCAAGCAGTCAGAGCAAGTACCACTGAGAACAGTGTTTTGAACCCCAGAGACAGTTAAGTGGCTTTGTTTGATGCTTAAATGGAATAGCCACAACTCCCCATAGTTTTCACCCTCCAAAGCCAAGTGCAAGTATGCTAATTATAATTTGTGTTCTCCCATCTATGGGTGACCATGCTCCATGGTGGAAAAATTTGGCCTTGAGCCACATTGCTGTTTCAGATGAAGTCATGTTTAAAAGATTTGACCACACAATTGCTTTCTCAAAGAAGCTGTAGTGTCAATAAGCTGCCAAATAAAGCAATCCTAGAGAAAAGCGGTGAATGTATTCATGGAGCTAGTATCAGTGCTGGCTCAGGGGAGAATGTCTGAAAGGCAAGGATATATTTGGAGCTCCCTACTCAGTGTTGCTTCCTATTGTAACAGTTGCACCACTTTCCAAACAGCTTCTGTCCTATACAGATGTGACTTGCCACCCTCACATCTGGGAAGCAGCAGGCCAGTAATGGGATAAAAACATCTGTTTCAATTGTATGTTAACTCAGTACCAGTTGGAGTAGGAAACAGAACAAAAGACAGACTGAGTTTTAACAAGTATTTGAAAATGCATGATTATCCACAGCTATCAAATGTATGACAAATCCATTTGCAGTTTATCATAAAAGCTATCATGACAACAGCATAAAAGGAATAAACAGCAGCAATTGTCTTCTCTCTGCTATACACTGAGGGCAAACATGCACAAAGCTCTGCTTTCTGTTATGCCTCCACAACTTCTCTGAAATCAACAGTGAGGATACGAGGGCAGAACTTCATCTCCTATTTCCAGAGGTGATGCAGTCACCTGTGTAGAAGGCCAACATAAGATTTATGCATGACTTAAGCATTATTTCAAGAAATCTACCCATACTGGAGGTGCACGCTAGCAACAGTCTATCAGTGATGCATGCCCAGGGATATATTCATTACAGACCACACACTGATCCACTTGCACTTTAGCCTTTTGAAAAGTCTTCGTCCTTTCCATATTTGCATTCAGTCTGGACATGGATGTACAAAAGTATAAGCAAAGAGAAGCTGAATTCACCCAATCCTAACTGCCATTAAGCAGTTTCATAATGGTGACTGAAGTGAACCACAGTAACTTTCCAGATGTATCAGGCTAATAGTCCCCACGTCAGCCACCATGTGGAAGCCACACCAAAACAGATTCTCATAATCACCTGAGCAGAATTTTTAATGAGAAGTTTTTCTAGGGCTTGGAAGAACTTAGTCTGCAGATAGGAAACAACCAGGGAGATTCCCATGAGATGGTTACCTCATAATATCTTAATAGCTCTGTCCTTCATTAACTGCACTCAATTTGATAACCAGACCAAGATTAAAGTGAAGGTGATTCCTTTTTCATGCTCCCCAAATCTTCACTGGGAGAGAGAGGGACAAAACCTGCCTGGAATAGCTCTTCTATTTAGAGATGTGAAGCAGTTTATGCAGACACAAAACAATGCAGCCATTTAACATAGATTGTCTCTACAACGTATTGTAGAGACATTTTTTTTTTTTCATTAAGACTTTTTGGATAGTATTATCTATCTACTGGGTAAGTGCACATATTGAACTAAGTCAAAGCAGTCTCTTTCTTAAGCAGAAAACACAAGATGCAACAATTTATGCATTAACATCTATATCAGATTCAAGCTTTGCAAACTATTTAAAAATAAATAAATCATATCTGCTCCAGAAATATTTGGCTAATATTACAGGAAGAAAAACTTTTCATCTAAAATGCCTTTGAGCATTTGAACTGTATGGAGAACTCAAAGAATACTGTACTCAGATCAGATAAATGTTAAATTTCCCTCTCCCTCTTTGTCCTCTACTCCTTTTTGCAGATGAGGAAAGCAAAGTAAAAAGACTTAAGGCAACACTGAAATCTAAGTGTGCATTCCCAGAGCTCTGCCCACCATGCTCACAGGTTCTTCATTAAAAAACTAACTCCTTTCAACTTACACCACAAAGAGCAAATTTACACCTTGCAATGATGGCATAAACCCACTACAACAAGATACATCCAAGCTGCTATATTTGTGTAATATGGTAGTAGGCAAGGGCTGGAATTTGGATCAGGGAGATGCTACTGCTGTATCAGTTTGATAAACTGCTTTTCCCTGTCAGCGTAGCTATCTGTTTACTGTTCTCCTTTGCTCAGATAAAGTAGACTCTTAATAACATGAAAGAGTAATCTTTACCTTTAATCAAAGTAGTGAAAATACATTTTAAAATCAGAATCTGACCCAGCCACTGAAAGAAGATTGGATAAGCATCTGATGTCATTGTTCAACAGTTTCTTTTATGGCAATCATAACAGTGCACTATGCTTAAAAAATGTACTTTTACAGAGCATGTTTTCCATTTTCCCCCGCACAAGATCCTATCATCTTGGAATCATTGCAGATGTGCTGCTCCCTTACCCACTATCCTTCTCCAAAAAGACAGGAAGAAATTAGACCTTTGCACAGTAGCTCTGGATGTAAGAAAGCATACACTTTGTTGTTGTTCATAAGCAACACCACAGTTCTAACACATACTCACCCTTAAAAGCTATTTGCACTGTGCTAGATGCAGTCTGGAAAAATAAAAGGCTTTCCATTGGCATGGCTGCCAGAGCAGGCAGTTAACTGCAGCCTTTGAAGGCAATAAGAACCACAATGCCTCCCTTGAGGGGAAAAGATTAATTCATATTGTTCTGAATACTGAAAGCAGACAACTGCCAGCCCGTGAAAACATAAACCTCCAGAACTTTTCTTTCTTCTAAAGGCTTGCAAAAGCTCCAGGCATTGCAACTAAATCCTTTCAGTACATGATGACACACAGCTTTTTTCATGTATTACTGAGACCTGTTGAACCTCTACAAGAGTCATAGCCAAACAATAGCGTAAAAATATAAACCAGGCAGTGACCTAAACTGGAATATCCCAAATATATTTCTATATCCAAGTACTTGTTAGGAAAATAATCTAATTATGAATACATGCTCTCTTAATTCTGAACACATTCAGATTTAATGGCAAACCAAGTGCTTTTCCTTGCAATATAGCAGAGAGACTTCTCTCAAGACACAGCCTATATCAAGGGGTGCTCCCTATCATTAAGTTTTCTAGTCTTGCAAGATGTCTATAGAAATCAAACCTTGTATAAAACATGGTTTGCATACTATCTCCTATAGACTGGCAAAATAGGCAGTGCCATGTGTTGGAGCCATGGCAGTGCCATGTGTCAGACAGAGGTGTCCTCTGACAAAGCCACCTGATGATGGGAGCTCAGACAAGAATGCTAGCTACTGACATCATTGACCCCTTGAGAAACAGCTCTCCACATAATGAGGCAAACTGTCTCAAATTGGGCAGGGAAGGTGGTTCTAGATATACACTTAATGGCCTAGGCAGCAAAGCTGAAGGTCGTTTGGTTGGTCTTGACTGAATTCAAGCCTGGCTTCTATACGGTTATGCCCAGAGACACTAGGATCATTGGATCATTCTGTTTTAAGCAGCCTTTGGAGCCAAACAAGGAAAATATTGAGGAAGTAAGGGAAATAGGAGATCTGTGCACTATGCACCACGTAGTCTGTCCAAAGTCAGAAGATAGTCTTTACTTATTTCAAGAAGTGGTGATGCTGATTGCAGTTCCATCAGCAGTATACAGCAATGTGTGGACTCTAACAAAGCAGCTGATGAGAAGGGTGCAACAAAGGTCAGGAGAATACTTTAAGCTCAGTTCCTATATCCTTGCAGTCACCACAGCAATTGAGAGGCAGCCCTAAGGAGCAGACACCACATTGAATCAGAGAAAATAGCGGATGGTAGAACAGCTTACAGCCAAGTGTTGTATGTTAGCCACCCACTAGAGATGGGTTGTACTATGCTGTTTTACTTGGAATGACTGAGAAATTCTCTGGCAGCAGATACACCTGCTTTGTGGCTGCTCATACCAGTGAAACAGCCAGAGAGGCTGTCCAAGATCCAAGAACAAGTCTTAGGATGGCGAATCTTGGCAACATAATTTTAAATCATTTGAGAGGCCTCTCTGCACTGTTTATGTGTCACATACAGGCAAAATTTAAATAAATTAAAAAAAAGAAATGAAAAATATAAAAGGACAAGATATGTCAAAGCCCAG